AGCAGCTGAGTGGCCTCGCGTCTGCACAGCATTCAAGTACATTGGGAATGTTTAATTTTATGCCTAATCTTTATCATTACCAATTTTCTTGCTAACTAGGAATCACAAGATGCCACTTGCAAAACAGGAATTGATGTAGGAATTTACCACCCAGCTTTTCTCTGAGATTTTAGTTTATTTCAGCATCATGCCAAATCTTTAACTGAGATCCTTATAAAAAAGCATGCTTGAATGTGATCTAGGAAAAAAAAAAGGTGTGCTACTAAAGTGACAATGCTCTGACCTGCTTTTTTGCTAAAACTGTTATTTTGCCTCCTGAAGAAAACTCCACCTCTACACAGGAAACGTAAATTACTGTTTTGTCCCCTGCCATTCATTAAGCATAAACCCAGTAAACACTAAATCCTCAATCTGGAATTGACTAGGTAGGTTCTCAAAGTGAAGGGCTTTGAATTTAAAACCTACCTGTTTCCCTCTCCTTCAGTGTCCTGTCTCTTGCAAGCGATGCTTTAACTGTTTTGCATTCATAGCAAGATTTTTTCTCAAAAAGTCACCTTATAAGCCATTTATGTCTTCAGCAATTTTTTCCAATAAACGTTTCTTTGCAGTATTTGTGAACCAGGTATATTTCTTAATCTTCATAAATGCCATGACTTAATTACTTTTACTCCCTTAATCAGCTGGTAAACCAGGTCTTTATTTTTAAGCTAAAGTGCTCCCTCTGCTGCTCATTTTTTGAGATGCAGTTTTTACAGGTTAACAAAGCTGAAAATATTACGACTCATTCTTTGGAAATCAACCTAAAAAATTCAAACCATATATCCTCCTTCTAAACAGGAAAATGTATGCCCAAAATCTATAAATTAATATGATACATCAAAACACACCGTTGCAAGTGATTATTCTGCTCTCAATTTACAAGGGCAATTGTATTCCTAGCATCCTTAAATTTAGTTGCACACGATTTATAGCTTTAAAAACAAAGCACATAATTACCTGCCTCCACTGCTTACGGCCTCTCCTCCTCTCTGATATGTTACTGAAATAGTTAAAGATAAAAAAGGAAATAAATTTAAAAACAGAAAAGACTCCTTAAATAGCAGTATTAAATTTGCCTTTGTTTTATTTTAGCTAAGACAATAAACGTGCATTGTTTATACATTAATTCTGAGTCTCATTCTCCAAGCTATTCCTTAAAATGCAAGTTTACACAAAATGCTTGTGTTGCTACTCCTAGCTCCAACAAAGTCTGGTATTTCAGTTTTGTTCTGAAAAACACGAACAATCACATGTATTGCTTAAGAAAGCAGGAAGCCATACATCACGTTGAACTTATCCTTAACATAACTCTGCTGACTACAGTGGAGTTACTCTGAGGAAGAATTTAGGTCATACATTTATTTCATGAATGGCTATATATTAAAGCTTTGCTCTACCTTATTATTTTGGTAAGATTAAAGAGGTATTGTGATTCTCTAGCAGACCTTACTTCCAATGTAAACAATGGCTCATTACGGCTGAATCTGCTGCAAAACCACATACTCTTTCTGAATGTTACTGCGCTGTACTCATGGAACAGGCACACTCTAAAAGTCCACAGAAGCTTCACATTTTATAACATTTTACAACTGGATTTATTAATGATACTTGTTTATCTAAAAATTTAAATGTATAAATCTTGGTAAAAAAATGTCTGGCAGAAAGAATACTTCCTAAATCAGAAGGAACAGTTTTGCTAGCATTTCAGAAGCATTACACATTAACAGAGTGGATGTCCACATGCATTTATTTATTGGCACGGATTGCAAATCCTTCACAGGAAGCACCATGGTTGAAAAGTTAGTTTTCAGGATGCAAACACTCAAGAAGAAACAGTGCTATAAATTCTGCAGGTTTGCACTGGGTTTGGTAAAGGGTTAAGTAGATTGCCTCCCCACAAATGGTGATAGATTCTACATTTTCCAACTAGGAATGTGTTGAAAAAAAGCAGCCAAATTCTGCTCTTTAGAAGAACTCCAAACTGGGAGTCTGCAAGAGAGAGATAAATGCTGGCAGTGACTACAGTAACAGGATTAAAATGTAGGATGCATTGCTACAGGTAAATCTTTTACTACAGGTAATGCTAAAGAAGAGGTTCCATTTAAAGTCAATGGAACTAATGTCTGGGATCCTGGGTTGAAAAAGGATTATTCTTCCTTTAAATGTTTTATATAGTTTATGGGTTTTTTTCCAATTTCTTCTTTAAAAATCTCTGTGTTACTTCTTTTGCAGCTCTGACATATCTTATGGAGCCCTGATATTTTCTTTTAATGTTAAGAAACCAAATGAGAAAATATTTTTTAGCTAACCTACCAATCTCTGCAGAATTTCAGTAGTGTGCTACAACTGTGATTGCAACAGAATCCCTCTGTTAAGCCAATTAAAGTGACAGCAAAATAATAATAGTTTGTATTAGTCTCTACTGTGGATCTCAAAGGACTTCAGAAACATTAAGGGCCACTCTGACTCATGCTGAAGAGTAAGCAACTCCACTGAACATAATAGAATTACTTTTGAAACAAAGTACTATTCATTGTGATTAAAAGCACCTGGATAAGAACCTAACCCATGACGATTAGGTCTATGTGGATGAACACAGACAGATATGAGATTGCTTTATACGTGGTCCAACTTGGAAGGATGCAACTCAGCTGCTGCCCAGAGGCCATATCAGCACAGTGCTGATTTCGATCTAATATGGCCTGCTACCATGAGTCTGCAGAGAAGGGGTAGGCGGTTTCTACCCTGCCTGGATATACATGTCCTGCAAGTCTCACAGACCTCGTGAAAATCAGGGATTTAGAACAAAGCAGGAAGAGACAACCTGCCTGTTCACTCAGGCTGCAGCATGTAATGCCTGCAGTACACTGGTGGGGACTGAATGTGTTGAATTGTATCTACTGTAGAGCAAGAGCCGCTGAGCTGCCAGACTGTGGGACTGACTGAAGGTCAGCTCTACAGAATGGAAAGGCTCTCATGGACCTTGGTGGGCTAGGGCTGAGATTAGGTCATATTTTGTACATTTACAAGCAAAAAGGAACAGAAGATGACTTTAAATCCAACCCAAATTTGAAATGCACCTCCGCTGATGCAGAACAGGATGATTATTTTAAAATTTCATAGCATAAATACAGTTGAAGGCAGCAAGCAAGGAAATCTAACTGCTCTAACAATTTGATTATCTGTATCTTCCAAAGCAGACAACTCCTAGGTCACTGGATTAATGCAGATTCAGAGGAAAGAAAAGAAGCAAATGTTTCACCAACTATAATCCCACTGAATCCCTTTCAAGTCAGCATCTGGGCTCTGCTAAGTCATTCCTCCTCCATCAGAAGCACCTTTTGTATCGCTAGATGCAGAAGGCCGCACTACTCCATCGTAATATGCAAGAAGAGAGCCCAGGTTGTACAAACAGATGAGATCATGCTACAAAATGGCATGCTTGCATCAAATGGTATGCTACAAAATGTTACATACAAACAGAAGAAACGGTCAGCTACAAAGCAAATATACACTACTTAGAGAACAAAATAATACCTGTCATTGATGGAATTGTTTAAAAAAACCTTCAGAATAGCTGGGCTGGTTATGTCAGAAAAAGAGAAACAGTACCACAAACACATGCTAAAGTAACAAAGAAGGGGGGAAAAGTGCAAATATATACCTGTTGGTGTGAAGGTAAAAGACGGGACTGAAAAATCAAAACAAAATACAAACTGGTTATTAAGCTGAAGAGAGAAAGGGAAACATACCACATTAGTATAAAACTAGCAGACAGCTGAACATAAAACAAATGTATATAACTAATCCAGTAGTTCAGTCACATTGATATAGAAATAAAATTAAATTTGTGATTCAGAAAGAAGCTTGTCTCTGCAGGTACTATTCTGAAAAAAATAAAAAGCTTGATATTCTGTTGTGCTCCTGAGGGGACTGGACTGTCGTTGAGCCTCTCAAATACCCCTCAGTTTGGTATTTTAAGTCTTTCTGAAAATCCTAGCACCAACAAAATCCCCATACTGTTAATCATTTTAGAATGCAGAATGGCAAATTCCTTTAACAAAGCCTTATCAAGGTCCTATTGAATCTTATCTGCAGTTCACTAAGTAAATGCTCATTACTCTGAACTAATAGGCACACTGAAGTATTCAGTAAGGAAATAATAATCATATAAAGGAACAAAGAGAACTGCTGTTTTACTGTTCCTGAATCAAGAATGGCACCAACTCTCACTGTAATAAAGTCACTAAAGTCTACTGCAGCAATTAATTTTTGTTTTCCTAGACAAGACTGTTTAACAGTTATCTTTCTTTCTTAAATAATTACCAAAAAAAAAAAAAAAAAAGGAAAAATATCTCCCTAGATGTAAGACCTTTATACCTTTCAACACTTGGCTTTAAGAGGGAAAGGTTAACAACGGAACAATGACATTGCTTGACAATCTTCACTCTCACAGACACTATAAATCCTCTTTGGATCAATAGGGTCTCTAATCCAAATACAGAGCACCAGCATCTGCTCTTCCTATTAGCACATGCTCCCCCTCCTGTTGACAAGACAGTATAGTTTTTCTATCACTGATGGGCAGAAAAAAGGCTAACATAGTCCTTCTCAATCTAACGACAGCAAAGAGAAATGTTAAGAGAAACAATAAAATATTCACTTAAAGTAGCCTTGAGACAGAATTTGATCAGCAAACCTGGCACAGAAATAAAAGGTTCTGGCTAGGAGAACAACTGCTCAGTCTAATTTTTACAGTAACTCTGATCTCTGGGGGGAGTCCAGAGTGCCTGTTGTTACAATTTAGGATATGATGTAGTTTCACCCCCTTTTTACCAAGTCAGTTTGTTTCCAGGGATATGACACTAAGCAAAAAAAGAAAAACCTCTGAGAATTTGACCATTTCAGACTTCATTTGGAGCACAGCTCTTTATCTTGCGAATTCCATTGTATTTTCTTTGAACTAGGCCTTTCACACAGTGAAGTTTAATTTAGCTACATTCAAAAATATAGAATCATAGTAATAAGCTTTCATTAAAATAGAAGGTGCATTTAAACCAGAGCTATTCAAAAGAGAATCAAGTGTCTCAAAATTAATTTGCAATCACAAGGACATGAAAAAAATCTTGAACTACTGTCTCATTACTCTTCTGTGAGCTAAGTACTAAACCTAGTTTAGTTTCTTAAGGAATTGAGGAACAGATGAGCAGAGATTCAACTAAATGAAATCTTTATCGCTACCACACGAAAGAACAACTTAAGTCTCAGAGCTTCTATTAATAAACTCTTCTGAGTGTGTAAGAGTGCTAGTACAATATGTATGCGTGGGAGTAGTAAAGTATTTTAACAGATGTCAGGCCCGAAGCTAAATATAAAAAAAAATAAAAATAAATTCAAGACTGAAGAAAGTTTGGGCTTGCAGTGATGACTTGATGCACTGCAGAGTGGCAAACTACTTTGCAATTTATATTTCACTAAAGATAGCTTTTTTTCTTGAAGAATACTTGATAACACAGATGCAGACCCTACTTTTCTGTGTATTTTCATTAAAATCCCCAACAAATTACACAAAAGATATTTTTACAGATATTGAAAAACACAGCTGTTTTAACAAAAGCTGATGTCATTAAAGTAACCATTTTTAAGGACAAATTGTATGCCTTTTGCTTAATCATAGGTACCGCTGAGAGCATAGCAATGTTAGTTTGATAGAACTGTAGAAAGGCAGTATGGCAGCATGCTATTAGTAAAACAAAACAGTGCAGGCCAATGCAGCAGAATGTCAGGTCTGTCTTATCTAAGAAATCCTAGCAGAACAAATCAAAGGTGAAATTAATCCCTGATTTCTGTGGTTACAACTCCACTACAACCACTGTGCCTGAAGTCGACCATGAGTGTTGACACTTGAATGGCACGGAGGACACCTAAACTCTGCAACATTACAGAACTATTTCCATGTTTCCACTCACTCAGTTGCTATTTTTAGCACTGCTTCTTTTTCACAGCAACACACTGCTAGTTTTTAAAAACATTTTATATTTGTGTATCTGTCTTGCCCATACATATAAATTCTAAAGAACATACTAAGACTAAAGAACATAATCTCACAACACCTTTCATACATTAAGATGTGTGCATCTTTTAAGTCTAGGTCTATTTTTCTGATTGCTAAATATCATTCTCCCTCTATTAATTCAAAAGCAGGATCTCCCATTTTCTGATTCATTCCAGAATTTATAGTTCTCAATATATGAGTGCCTATGAGGTATTTATTTGATGTAATGAACTGTAGCTTACTGAATTCAGCTTTAACTTCAGGGCTTAATCAAAAGATTACTGAATCAGGAGAAATGAAGTTTTTAGTCCAGAAGATCTTCCACAGAGAGATTCTAGTTTGATTTGTCACAGAGTATGCTGTAAAGCACTGCTTGCCCATCGACAATCTGATATAAAAGTTATCAATAACATGAAAATGAAGAGTACTTTTAGTCCCGCTGCTGCCAGTCTAACCAAATGCAGATGCAATATGTGATAGTCCCAGAATTCAGTCCCAACGAAGGGTCTTGCAACACCATTTATGAAAGAGTCTTGGAAAGTATTATTGACTGTTGAGTTTTTCCAAACAGTCACTTCACCACATTCCCCGGAACACAAGGAAATTCAAGTACACGCACCAAAAGCGTTACTGTAATGTACACCACTGTTAGTACTCTTAGCAGCAAGCAAAGGACTGAACAGGAGGGACAATGAGCTACCATCCACTAGGCTCCTTTTCAGATAGTACAGTGTCAGGTACAAGGGCATATTGGAAGCTCCCAGCCTTTAATCCATCTTTGTATTTCTCATTTGTAAGAGTAGTCAAGGTGTTTTGCTAAAGGCTTAAGCTTTAAAGCCAGGTTTAACAGGTTACATAAATATTGCTGCTTTCTGCATTGGCTCCTGATCCACACTTCCTGAAAGTATTGAAGTAATTTGATTATTCCTGCATCAAATCTTAGAAGAACAAGAGACTGGTGATAAAGTTAGCCAGTAAACAGGCATTCAGCAGCCAGCAGACTGAAATATATAATACAACACCTTTTCTGATACCAGCGTAAGTACTAGTGAGTCCATTTCGCTTCTTCCTGTGGCGATATAACCAGATGCTGAAGACCATAAGGATAATCCAACAGGCTGCACCAATTCCAGCAATGAAGGCAGGCTGTTTCACTACATCAGAAATCTGCTGGGCTAAACTGACTTGATCCTCTGAAGACACAGGGTTTCCATGAGAATCTGAAAAAAAGGCATGCAAAATACCCAATTAATTTGAATGAGCATCTGTAAAAGGCAGCATGAATAGAACTGACATAATTGTAGTCCAGTTTTTCAAGGAAAAATCCTTAAGACTGCTCTTGAAAATCTCTTTTTAGAGGTCTACATAGAAATGTTTTGTTTTCCAAACAAGACACGTACCTCCAACTTCACTGACATTTGCTTGTTTACGAACCCCACTAAAATCAGGCTGCTAAGCATATAAATAGAAAGTTAGGCTCATAAATTTCAAACTTGGGGACTGCTATTTTTTCAATTTTTATTTTAGCAAAGCATCACCAGCTTTTTTTTTTTTTCACCAGAAATTTTTTCAAAAAGCCAGCAAAGAACACAGTAAGTAAAAGAAAGCTCAGGTATGAAACATGTATAGTCTGTTCTTTGAGTTCTGTGAATGTGTAGAAGTCAGCTACCCAAACATCCACTCTCATAAATGAAAAGCACAGAAGAATTACAAATTCAAAGTACATTCACATGTGGTAGGTATTCAGGGATACATTTTAATTTAGCAGTTTCTGACAGATTACTTAAATCTTGTATTACACCGTCTAATGTACTCTTTGCAGTCTCTCACTTTGTTCTCAATTAAAAAATACTATTTAAAAGGACGTAAAGAAGTAAAAGTACAAAACAACCAATCCTGTCTTGACATGTATGAAAAAGCTAACAGATCACTAAAAAATGAGTTATGAATTGTTAAAAATAGTCAAGCAGTCTCATTATTACTGAACAAGCAGCCCTTTTCAAAAAGTTTATCCTTAAATATCCCACATCAAAATAAAAAATACGTAGTTTTCCACACACTTATAATTATTTTAATAGAGAAAGCACCTGTAAAAGAATCAGTCTTGTCTGCTCTTTCTGTACTGAACTTTTGCAAGAACCTTCTAGGAACAGCAGTAAGAATAGTTAGAATAGAATAGTAAGAATAGAGTTAGTGACCAATGCCTTCTAACTGAAATGAAGCAACTCAAAGAAAAAATACTGCCTTCCTGATTTTTTTAACACTACAGTGAGCGTTTACTGGAAATTTCATTACTGCACAGGGTGGAGGGCAAGAATTTGAAACCTTTACTCAGAGAAGATATTGCTTTACACATTCCACAGCTTAGTCTTTGAAATACACATTTTTACTCTTGTGTAAATCCAACAATCAGTTGTTTTTCACTATGGGCAGTGACATCAGATTCCGAATGAAAGATTAGTGCTTTAAGGGAAAAGGTGCTATTACTAATTCTATTCATATAAACTACATAAGAAATGAAAACCTATTAACTTAAAAACCAATACCTTTTCCCTAAGCAGTGAACAGGGTTTTTTTTTGATGACGACATGTCTCATATTTTTCCAAAATAAGCCTAAATAAAATATAAGAAACTGCAATACAAAGAGGAGATGGAATCACAACAAATCATACAAACAACAAACCTCCTCTGGAAAAGGATACCTTCTTGAATGGGAAATGGTTAAACTAATAAAAGCTTCTTCCAGTGAAGAATTCTAGATTTCAGTTTTTGCGACATTGATGTCAAATACCTATTCTGCAGAGAAATCGCCACCGCCTTTGACTGTTACCTTATTGGAAATTTTATTTCATATTTCAGGTCCCTTTATCTTCTGTTATCGTAAGGGCCACTGTCTAGTCTGAAAGTTCACCAGGCAGACTCATTCTTTTCTTACTAACACACCCTTTGTGTCTGCTGGGTTTATAGATTTCATGCCTATTTGTGCAAGGTTAAGATGGGTTGCCTCAGATTTTATGGAGACAGCCAAGTGAAGTTCCACACAAGTGGCCAGATGGGCTTAAATGTATAAAGTATACTGTGACCAATGAACTAAATATGTCACTCTCTATCTCATCTTTTGTCTCTTAGCTCTTAGATATGAAAACTTGCATCATCAGTCTCTTTTCAAGATGAGTAAGCCAACTATTTCTATATTTTTAAACAACGATACTACTTTGTACATCTTAATGGAATAGAACAAAAGATTTCCAGGTCCTGAATAAATTTAGAAGACTGATAAATATGTTTTCTCTAATCCTTTAAATATATATATTTAAAACAATAAATTCGGGGGGGGGGGGGGGTGGTATAATCACAAACTCAAAAGCCAAAGAAGATTGTTTTTTAAACATGTCAACAATTCAGCCATACAGAAAGACAGTACTTTTATATACACAAACATCTTACGTTGCTCAGTCAATGCATGTGTGAAGATTACAAAATACTCAAGAATCTCTTTGAACATTTATTGTTCTAATTTTTAATTAAGATTCATTTAATGGTATTATTTTGCTAGCCACTGCAAGCATCAGAACAGCATAATAATATATTTGCTTTCAAGAGACGAGGCTTACGGCACATTGAAGAGAAAAATGTGCATGTGTTCATGTACAGTCATATAAACAACACTATAGAAAAGATGGAAGGGCTTTCAAGAGGCCACATTTGACCCATATCCTGTTCCTCTTGTAATTCAAAAATAGAAAGTAAGCTAAACATAAAGCAAAGAGAATGAAATCTAGTGAACCCCTCATTACCAAGAATTTCCAGGAACATTGTCGTGGAAGCTTTTATTTGAGAAGGTCATCTCCCCTCTCCATAACAGTCCTGTGAGATTCTGAATGATCAGTCAGGAAAAAAAGCTCTTGAACTAAAAAAAGTACTTTTTCTTCACCCCAGGAAATTTCTGGAAGCTTTGAGTGAGATATAAACGGTTCATAATCAACATTCCTGTTCCTGCTTGCAGTCCTCAGGGAGACGTGCCAAAATAATAAGTGAACATAAACATTTTACGGCAAAGTGCATCTTACTGCCAGAGCAGCAGCCGCAGCATTTAATATACTTGAAAATGCCTCAGAGTTGTTGGAGCAGGCTGATTCCACAACTCCCTGAAACCAGCATATTATCACAGTGACTCATCCCTTCTTCTTCTACCCCGAGATAAGAGCCTTCTTTTTAATCACAGATAATGTTGCTATGGGTATTGCTTACAAGCTATCCAATCCGACTGTCTTGAAGCTCCAAGTTTCCAACTTCAATGACAACTAGTTAGAATTTACATTGAGAAAAAGTGTGACCTCTAATTCTCTACTGTTAAATATTAATATAAATAATAATGTAAAAACTGACATTTAAGTTGTTAAATGTTAAATAAAATATTAATATACAATTAAGATTGGAATGCCAAAGATTCAGAAAAGAGAGGAAATTCCAGGTTCACAGGTGTGCAAGCAACCTTGACTTTGCCCTGTATGTGTACAACCTACGGAACAGTACTTTTCCACAAGCCTGTTTCATTTAGTACACAAAATGTACAAACAGTAAATAGGAAGATCTAAGTTTTGTTGACATTGCTAATTCTGGCAATTCAAAACTTAAAAAACCCCTGGACTCTGCAACATAATGTTTTGAGTTTTTCCTCAAATATATGTGCACGATGCAATATGGAAATTATTTGGTAAAATATTACCAGGTTAAGAATATGCTGTTTTGTTTCCTTTCTAGTTATATATCTTTCCAAAACTGGAAAAATATCAGTTTTGCACTTCAATCGTCTAATAAAAAGTTTGAGGAGACAGCACTGAGCTGATTTGGAAGGGTTTGCTGTGAGGGGAAAAAAAAAAAGATTACTCTCTTCAAGTTGTCTGCAGGCACAAGACAAAAATATCAACAAAACAACCTTATACAAAACCTTATAACTATCACACTAGAAGTACTTGAAGGGCTGACACAACAATATCCCCAAAGGCATGCTAGTTAGTTGACAAATCACATTTCCTAAATGAAGCAATTAGAATAATAAAGATTCAATGAGACTTTCTTGTGTTTTGTACACTTGAGACATTCACTGGTTGAATAATGCACTCAACATCAATAATAATTGTGCAGATACTTCTTAATAAGTAACTGCATACCATATATTCATACAAATTATGTGCTTAAGAGTAATATTAAGTGCAGTTGTGGGGCTTCTCAGAGCCGGTACCCTGAACAAAATATGTTGCAATATGTTCCAATTTCACTACTTATTTGCCAACATGCAAAGGTAATACTGCCAAACTATCATAGGTAGTATCCCACCACTGTATAAGAGTTAGGCTAGAGGTCAGCAAAAAAACATTTGCTGTTATAATTCTCACCTTTTTGTACTGAGCATTTTTGTAACCAATGTCCTGAAGCTACACACTATGACAAGAAAAAAAGTTCTATCAAAATTCTATGATTTTTTCCTCCACAGTATTATAAGGACAATATAGTTAGCTGTGGTGAGCTCTCATGAAATACGGATTTTTTTCTTTACCACCAAAACTCTTGAAGTCTTTTGTAAAATATTAACTTTTCTTTTAAAAAGAGCAAATGGTTTCCAGCCCTTGGAATTCCACAGAAAGCTTTAAAAGCTCATTCAAAAGCCAAGAGGAAGATTCACAAGCCCCAAGGGGAGTGTTTTAGAGAAGATACATGATTTTTCAGTTGATCTCATGATTTTAAACACTGAAAGGTGATTTTTGAATAACAAACAAGTATATTGTTGGCTTGTCCCTAGTGACATGGGAAGTGTGGGGCACTGCAGCTCAGTGAGCTGCTTCATGTCAGCTGAGACATGCAAAATGAAAGAGCTTTGAGCTTACAATTTGTACCTGTCTTTGTAACAGGTTAAGTGGGTGCACGAGATCAGTTATCACAGCTCTGCTGATGCACGGGACTGCGACCGCACACCTCAGCTCTCTGAGAATCCAATGCCTCCTGCCCTCCCCTCTTGCTCTGGAAGGCGGCCTCCAACAGGTGAAGCTTTCTCCTGTCACACACCTGGCTGAAACTCAGCCCTGGCATTTGTCACAGTCACAAACCCAGTAGTACCCTGCAGCGCATAGCGACCTCAAATATGAGGTTGCTATGCAAGACAGTGGGCCACAATGGGGAAAAAACCCTCTTCTTTGGATGCTCCAGAGCCAGCCACAACCTAGTCTGTTGTAAGAAAAACATATTATAAGGAGACAGATGTTTGACTTTAATGAAATGTTCTTAAAAAAAAAAGGAGGTGAATATCTAAATCACAAAGTATATCCTGTTTTATCCTGTTTCCACACATGGAATACTCAATTAGTTAAAAAAAAAAAAAAGTAAAGATTGTACTAGTTCAGATATCAGGAAAAGGTTTCCTGAAGGAATAGTTGGGATCAGTGATAGAAATGCAGAAACTTGAAGTTGTCAGTGGCAAACACGCAGTTTCTATAGCACGTAGGCACAGAGTCAGGACTCTTTCTAAAAGTAGCATCCTTAGTCCTCCTTCCTCCCCCTCCCTGGCCTCCCCTGCCTCTCTCTGTAACCATGTAATTTATTGCTGGTGAAAAGTGCCAACTGATGACATCAACAAATTAATTTTCTTTCTTCAGAAGAGCTACCAGAAAACACCAGTATCTGCTCCACCCCCACACTGGGAGCACATCCAAGAACTAAGAATGTGATCCCTTGCGGGGGCTGCAGGAGAACTTGTATCACAGTGTAGAGTTAGGTAAAGTGCAGTCATTCTTCTGCCTTTATGATTTTAGGTTGATCTGTGCTACTGAAGGGTGTTCCTCTTAAGTTTTAAGTCCTAATTTTCAGCAGCCTCCTGTAGCTGCTGAAAGGACTGTAGAACTGCCTAGATATTTCTTTGTGCTGCTTCTAGTGGCATGGATCTCCACAAGACTCCTGTCTCCAGGTCTTCGCCATGTAACAACCGAATTAAGGGATTTTTACTACAGTATATGTAGATTTGGCCATGCCACTTAATTAGAAGCAAGCAGTACAGACTATGAAAGCAAACCCCAGCCACAAGGAAATACGAGGATTCTACCAGACTTGCACATTTGAACACCCTCTGAGGTGTGTGATTGCTTTATGCTTTCTAACATAGTGTCAGTAAAGGCCAGGACCACAGAAGCAGGCAAAAATTTTACCCTGACAGAGTATCTTTGGTTTCTTTTTCCACTTACCAAAACCCCAAAGTGATTTAAATTGCGCTATAAAAATCACTTTCATTTAGCATTTGCTTATCGTCAGAGAAAAGGAAAAAAAAGTCCTCATGAAGTCTTTAGCTTTGAAGTTACCCCACTATTTTACACTCATAAGCCTCACTAATTTAAAGTTTTCAAAATCTAAGCCATATAGAACAAACTTGACTTTAACTGGAAAGGTGGTTGTAGGAAAGATAAATAACTATGGGGTTTTGCATGTATTAATGGAATATCATATAAACTGTGTGTAATTTTATTGTAAAATCTCTGTTAATGTAATTGGGTACCATACGCCTATACAAGTTCAATAAGTTAAAGATGACCTTCATTTTAATAGCCAAGAAAATGTCCATGTAATTGTCTAGAGAATGTATTAGTCATTTGGTCTTGTTTTCACATGCAGTAATTATAGATTTTTAAATACAAAAGGTGAAATAACAAGAAAGATCCACTAATGGTACAGAGACAGACGGGACATAAAGTTCAAAGCAACATGCTGACTTTGCTTTCACAATTATATACTGTAACAATAAGGAATTTTGATACAGGTGTACTGGTAAAGCAGCATAAGACTATATCTAAAGCTACTTTTAAATAATCTTCAGCTAACAAACAGCATAGATGCATTTCTCCCAGATACATCCAGGAGCAATGCCCCTGATCTGCACTTATGAGAGAGAGATGTTTGGTTTTAAATACAGTTAGGAGGTCAAGATTACTGTAAATCACCTGTGTATCTCTTTTTCCTGTACTCAGGTTATACACTAGCTTTCACACATAGTTGATATTTATTATGCCTAATTTTAGCTTGCTCTTGTTTTTTTTTTGCTGCAATAAAGATAAAATCTGAATAAGACAAATTACATCCCTAAACTAAAGTGAGCCAACACTTAGTGATTCATACTCCCCTACATGTTTTATTACACCAGTCTTAAGTGCGAAAATTCACTTTGAAAAATCAATAACCAAATAGCACTGCTGAATTGGGAGATAAAAAAACCTGTGTTGCTAAAATCCTACCTTTAGAATGCAGTTCTAAGGCAAGTTTAAAACCAGAAATGCCAAATCCTGCTATTCTAGAGATCAGGTAACACTATATATTTCACTTGTCTTGAAAGTATTTCTGGCGCCATAAAAGACAAATGCAAACAAACAAAAGCCATTGAAACCAATAGGCAGGATTACCAGCAGGCTTACCTAATTGGATAAACTGGGGATCGCTTTTCACTCCAGGTCCTGCCCCAGTACTTGCTGCCACTTCCACGCTATATCGAATACCAGGAACTAGGGAGGGGATGACTACAGAAAAGGTAGAACCATCTACCGTCTTGTTTATATGGTATCGACTTTCATTGCCAAGACACCAAACCTGCAAGGAAGTAAGTGTATGGTATGTATAAGTGTTCAGAATTCAACACCAGAGAATAAGCAGAAGGAAAGATGACACTTTTCTTTCTGCTGGATAAAGAAAATGAGCATTTGTCACTACTCCAACATCTGCAGTCATGGATTGCTGTCCCAGGCACTGTATGAATACTGAAAAGATACTTCTTGTTCCAAAGAACAGCTCCAACCGCTAAAATTATTTGAGGGATTTATCATAATTCACTCACAGTTCAACCAGTGACATTAGTGCTAATAAAACTAAAAGCATTAGTAACAGGGAACAAATAAGGGAAGCCCTGTAGCCAAGAATTGTTCACATAAACAACAAAGTAAGAGCATTCAGTTAAATGAATTTGCAATTCTCTTGTTCAGGAATAATTCCTCAAGCAAAGCTTTCTTCACTCATGTGCAAAGGCAACTCTTTCATCACATTTCGTCACAAAAGAACCAATGTCATGCTGGAATCCAATCATTTTTTTTTGTTTTAAATGGCAGCAAAAGGCAAGGATTGAGTAATATGCCATCTTCTGTTGAGAGACAACAACATGATATCAGATCTGATTTTTTGTTTGAGATCAGGACACAGGTCTAACAACTTCACACCAGTGAGAAACAATATGATGAGATATTTTTATCTCTTTAGGCCTGCACCACTGATGTGGCAAATGCTTTTAAGAGTATGGTTGAACTCCCAACTGCTATTAAAGATAAAGTAGCAGCTAATCCAGATCTGCTAAAAAATTGATGAACGTGTGTTGATTTCCTTTTTATTCCCTTTCCACAAATGTATTGATCTACAATGAATATTTATCCAGAAAGTTCAAATAGTTAACTTTATCTGTAAAGAAGCAAACTTTCCTGAGAAAGCAGCATTTCTGAACGTGTGCTAATTCTATGCAAGAGGGAAGATTTTGCTTTTGACATGTGGAGCTCCTAAAAGATTTAGTACCCAGATAGCTGCCCTTAATCTCTCATGCAATTCTGCTGCTGTGGGGATTGCCAGGTGAGTGAGTCAGTTTCATGTCTAGAACAACTGCTAGGGCCCTTTCTGTAGAGCCCTTACTGCTTGGACACTGGAAATTCTATTTCACCTTCAGGGCATTGTAACACCTTTTTTCCTTCTCTGGATGCCAAGGATTGAAACAATGCTAGTGGGACACCGTGAGGATCTGAAATGTATTTTCAGTTCCTTTGAAATAGAATCCCAATGCAGCATACACATAGCTGCTGCTGCAGAGCAAGTCAGGGCACACAATGAGAATCTCCTTTTTATATTCTGGTACTAAGTAGAAACTGTTTCAGTCAGTAGTAGTAGCATAATTATTAGTAATATATAAAATGCTCTTATGTAAATAAGAACTCAATAAAGTGAGGAACTAAAGATTTAAATCTACATTTTGATTTACTTCCTTCTCACAGAAATTGTTACTACTACCTTGTACAATGGTGTACGTGCAAACAATAAAAATAATTTATTATGTACTTGTAACTGTGCACTACTAATTCATAAAAATGTTTTGTTCTTAGGCACTCAAATACATGGAGAAATTCACAAAACAAGAATGTTAGGTTTAACATCAGATTGTTCAGTATTTGCCGTAATATATTTGATTGCATACCTAAAAAGGCAAGTGAAAACAAACTTTTAGAATGTTACGAAGGAAGGAGGAATTCACATTATAATAGACACATAACTGAAGAAAGAATTAGTATAACAACGGAATTTCTAACTTCATGCTAGTGAAGGAGGGAACGACTTCTGCTGTGATTTGAATTTCTGGCTTTTTCTGTGTGCTACTGACACTTCTTCATTTAAGATGGTATCCTCCTTGCTATTTCTTTTATCCTTTAATTAAAGTACGTACACTCTTGCCTTAGATCCAAGTTACCGAGAAAATAAAATAATTCCCCCACATACGCATACCTTTTTTTTCTGGGAGAAAACATAGGAGATAGAAGAACAAAGAGGAAAGAAGAAAAGAGAAAATTTTACAGGACTTACATTTGGTTTTTTCTTGTTACTAGTTCTTAATCTTAAATTACTGGTTCTGCATTTATTTAGATTTTAGACAAAAATATTAATCACATATAGCAACTTAAATAGCAATTACATATATATTCACTGTGTTTTCTGTCCATGGTGAAAAGCAGAAAGAAAAATAATGGCATCCACACAATAAATGTAGATGTGAAACATGCCAGTGTGCCATCTACTGCTACATAACCACTACAAGACTCTTGCTCCTACACCTGATAGCCTATTACCTCTGAATGCTAGGAGGTATGTTAGGTACTATATCCACTCGGAAATGTGAATTTCCTGACTTTCATTGTTTTGTCCTTACAACCTTAACATCCCTCTGATGCAGTTTTTTGATGGAAATAATTTCATGTCTTCTGCTCAAGGTCTGTCTTTAAATAAAATAACTTTGCAAGTATTTTTTTCCAATTACATCATATATCTGAATCTAAGCCATAAACTGATTTTTTTACCAGTTGACCAAGTTCTGAAAGGCATTTTATTATTCTAAATTGACCATGAAGCTTAGCAATCTCTTCACCTTCCCTTTTCTGCTAAGGAAAAAAAAAAAAACCAAACAACAAAACCCAGGAGAATGAGTTTTGATGGCTAGGAATATGTGTCTATAGCACAGTATTTTAACCTGCAAAAATAGTCAAGACATTCTTATTTCAAAAAATGTTCTCGATAATGCACATCTGTAGGAGACTGAAACAAAAGATACTGCCTCTCTGTGGCTATAAATCCTACTTGATATCCACAACTAGACATTTAAAATTTCTGTAGCTTGCTTAGGAAAAATCAGCTTCATTTACTTTGCCATGTAAATTATTGCAAAACAATTTGAACTGAAAATAAGTACAGTGTATGTTGTTAAATGAACATCAAATAATAAATATTTTATAATGTACTTACAATTTGTTAAAAATTAAATAGCATAATGAGAGCTATGCTTGTGTGAAAGAAACGCAAAAATTCTCTACACTAAATACATTCAGTATTATACAAGCACATTCTTTACTTGAAAGTTTTCCATTTGTTTTAACTACCCAGTTATGCATAATTTACTCAGATCTTAAACTGTTAATTATTATCCCTGAGCTTTTCAAATCATTAAGCCTGTTTATATTTATTACCTTGGCCAACGTCTTCGAGTCACAAGACAGTTCTCAAACAGGTATGGTTCCCTCTCTACTTGTGTGTGCATTTCTCAATTTATAATGAAGGCAATACGGCAGTTGTTTTAATTAGGAGTGTTGACCCTTTGCTTTGATTTATGGAGGCTGCTTTAATTGCTTTCTACCATCTTGAGAAAATTACTAAATATGGAGTTTGAGTCAAAGAAGGGATTTCCTAGCTCATTTGCTTTGACTAACCAGTAGATGGAGCCAAGCATCCACAAACAACCTCATCTGTCACTACCTGGCCAATACTCTCTCCCTCTGCCAGGAGATCAAGGTGTGCCAGCAGTACCTTATATTCCTGAACCATCCCGTTCTGGTTGTCCTCGGGGGGCGGCTGCCAGGTGACCACAATTGCCGTCCCATTCCCATCGTTCTTAGTTACTGAAACACTCTGAGGTGGAGCACTGGGAGCTGTTTGTTTGGAGAGAAAGATTGAATGGTTAATTTCACCAGACACAGCAGCAAGCTTTTTTTAAGAGGAAGCTGGTTTCTGGGCTACACAAATTATCTTAAGCCCTTCATTAAGGGCAGTTCTTCCCCAGAAGCTAAAATGATACACAAGGAAAGTGATGTGAACCTGCAGCCAGGCTCCTGAGTTCTGCTGCAGTCTTGCTGTGCAGGACAGGAAAAGTCACACTGGTCACCAGACTCCCCAAACTCACCTACCCATTACTTAAACGCCACAGTCCTGAGCACTGAATTCCTCAATCACCTCATCCAGGATCAACAGTTTTGAAAGATAAAAGGTATAAATTTACTCGAACAGAATGGTTCACCTCAGCTCCTCTCATGTGTAAGTAATGAGTAAACAAAAACTTATGAAAATCGGGACAGGATGTGTTAATATTAACTAACACATTTATAATAAAAATGTATGTTTTGCATTTTAAATAGTCTTTAAAAACTGGATGCTTAACTGATACTTAGGAGGAATGCAGTTAAGCCCACCTCTTGATTCACCTGCAGCAATACACAGCATTTATGCTGGGGATGGAAGAGAGAAGGGGGAAAGGTGTCACATCCTAACAGAGGCACTGAAATCCCTATTCAGAGGCACTGGCCATCCTGCATACTCATTATGCCCGAGCAGCAACAAAAGGAACAGCTTCATGAACCTTCTCTTTTCAGCACATGTATGAGATTGAAATATATAATTTAGCCCACTATATATGTTGCCCTCACTCATCTTTTCATTTTGTCTTACTGATTGATCTAGATATGAAAGCCCTCTAAAAATGTGGTTTCCATTCCCTCAGCTATAGCGCTTTGATGATCTGTGGTGTCTGCTATCTACTCAAGATAGTGATTAGTAAGTGCTTGAATCTGACAGAAGTCACTTGTGACCAGACCATGAACTCAGCAGGGAGGAGTGAAGATAAAAAGCGCATTTCCCATTGTGTGTTGGAGGGAATTTTTGCACATGCCCCCCTCTCTCTGTCTCTCGCATGTGGTTCTGAGTATTTACTTCTGTGTCACCAAACAATTCACATAATGATCAGTCCAACACAGCCTCCTCTGCCGCAGATTGCTGTTCTCAAACGGCACGCACTTCAAACAAAATCAAATAATGAACATATCAGAGGAAAGCAGGCCAGACTACAACTTCAAAAAGGAAAGATGAAGACAGTCTGGCTCCTACTTGCCTTCTTCCAGGGTCTTTGCAAATTTCACTTCACTGTCTGCTCCCTGAAACTCATTAAAAAAAGGGCGGGCCTTGATTTCGTAGTTTACACCTTTCTTCAGCTCGGGAATGATAACGCTGTTTTTGGTTGGAGTCCTCACTTCAAAGATTAACCACTCTGACTCTCCATAGGATGCTGGTGTAGGCCGGTACAGAATTTTATATCCCTGAATATACTGGGATTGCTGGTCCACCTGGGAAGAGAGCAGAACACAATACATTGTTTAATAAATATGAACCAGGAATGACCAGGAATGATGTCTGTGACACTACACACAGTCCTTGGACTATCCGTTCATTTTATTCAAAGTAAAAAATGCTGCTGAAGCAGATAAAGGCTCCTTGTGTTACAGCAAATTACAGGCGTGATTCACAAGTGCATTAATCTGATGCTGGTAGAACTGTGCTGGTTTCTGCGGATTTATGAAGGCATAAAAGGGGGATAACAGAGTTGTATAATATGCCCCAGATCCATGAAATGAACAGCCTTTGCATCTGCGGAGCATCAGTGGCGCCCAGGCAGGCCAGACCTCTGCCCACCTGAATCTGCTCGGCAGGGCAGGAGGCACACGGCACAAGGGAGGAGGGTGAAGAGGGCAGGGGATCTACAGCTCCACAACTCAGGATGATGAATACAGAGATCAAAGGGACAGCGTGCCAACTCTCCTGAAGTGTGGAAGCCTCCCAAAATCCATGAAATGAGCACCGTTTCCTGCCTGATTCCTTCTGGAGAAAGCAAATTGAAAGGGCAGCCAGCTGGCACTATCTCCATCTCTGTGATTAGGCTGGGCTCTGTCAGGGGGCAGGTTTGTCCAAGCACTTTCTCCATGTCCACCCACTCAGCGCAGGCTCCTCTGCTGGAGGGAAAGGGCTGGTTTGAGAGGGCTCTGAAGAGGCTTATAAAACCCATGGTAACACAGATGAGACTTGGAAAAGCAGATCAAAATTATACTTGGTGGTCCTGAGTGCATTTTAGACTGAGGTCCTTTTATACTACATGTATGAAGAAAGAGATCTTAATGTAAATGAGGGTGGGACTGAATACGTTTGGCTATAACTGAAACAGAAAGTTATCTTATAGAAGTGATCTCTCATGGAGTATTCACTATCTTTTAACAAAATTTTTAAAAGTGCATCAGATTTTCCCTATTTTTAAAAACCTCATACAGTAATATAATAAAACTGTTTGCTTGCAATTTTACTCCAAAAAGCAACGTTTCATTTTTTAATAATCACATAAAGAATGCGTGCGTTAGTTACAACTGAGGTAATGCTTATTTTTGAAATTGCAGAGAACCCACAGGCCACCCAAGAGACTGACAAAAACTGCCTGTCTGGAAAAGGTTGTTCTGTAAGTAAAGGTCAAACAAAATCGCGCTAAGAACCTCAAAGACATTTTAATATTATTAGATAAAAGAGGAGATTGCTTGCTGCAAGTGGCAATACTGCAGGTGTCAGTGTAATTACCATGCAACACAGCAGATATTATTTGTACTCCTGCAGCACCGAGGAGCCCTGGTCATGGACCAGGACTCCAGTGGGCTAGAGCTCTTCTGAAAGTCAAAACACCTTTTGTTCTTGTTCAAAATGTTCTGCCATGGCCTGGCAGGGGCAACACTCTGCTCTCCCTATACGGTCCCTGCCAATATATTGACATGTTCAGATGGAAGTCCTGAAAAGACCTCAAAGCTCTGTCCCTTTGGATTTATTCCTGCACCTGGTATAACTTTCCCCCATTCTTACGTCATCCTGCATTCTGTTTTAAAACTGCTCTTCTTTGAATCACATTTTCTTATCTCATTGCTTGGTACTTGCAGTTCCCCATGTTGTTCTTTGTCTTAGTTTCTACCTCTTGATTACCAAATGTCTCCCACAGTAAGCCATTTCTAATCCTTTCTCTCATTGAGGCCTGAGCCTTGTAAGCCTACTTGAATCTTTTTCATGTATGTTCTCATTCCCCTTGCTTCAGGACACATACAGTATTGTTTCCTCACTCTCTCATTTCCTCTGCTACATCCTCCACATGGCCAACTTCCTGCTTCCTCCTGTCACGGCAACGTCAACGCTACATCTCAAAACTGTTTGCCCCTTTGGCCTCTTCTCCCCATACTGTGTGTATTCATAGCACCATGGGAAACGACAGGTTCAGAAGAGGCTCTATTGGTTTGGGTGTGTTTCTCTGTATGTATGTAGGATGGAGGTAACACTTTCAAACAGAATTATGCAGTATTTCTCTCCACTGGTGACTGACAGACATGGAAGTGCCCATGTTATCTCATTAGGGTACGGATACACTTCCTACAGAAGGCAGTGTACAATCTTCAAATGATATGACATAAGGCGGCTTTGATCAGTCTTTTAACTTCCAGAGGAGGACTCTGAAACTCTCACCATATTGTACGCAGCACTCTCTATGGAGACACAAAGTCCTGAAAAAATGTAATGAAGTAGGAAAACAAAGCCCAAGTACCATTCATTCCAGAGAAAAACATTTGCAGGCACACAAACTACACAGATTGTTAAAATATGACTCCACTGCAGTCAAACAGTACAATTCAGCAGTATATATAACCACCTCCATGATACTGATTTATACTTACAGTCCAATGAACTTCAATTGAGGAGGAAGAAAGGATAGTAGGGTTGTGCAGATGTAGTACCACATCACCTAGTTCTCGCTGGACCTGCTTGTGATCCACACCTTGACTTGTCGGTGGAACATCTGTAATGATTTAAGATTCAATTCTCACAAGGTTATATGATTGTTAAAATAAGTTTATGTAAATACAAATATATCATAAAGTACATGATGCTATCACTAATAAAGTTTACCCTAAGTACTTCCCAATTATGTAAGAAAAAACTACATTAAGTATTTCCCAAGTAAATCACTAATGCTTAGATAGCACTAAATCAATGTACTGCACTTTGTTCAACAGAGAGAAACAGGAGGGAAACGCTGCATAAAAAGAAAAACCACATTCAGGGATGTCTTTGGTAACTGATTACAGCAGTATCTCTTTATTCTTTCCTGCTGGGAGGAGAAAACGTTCTAACAGCCATTGCAAATTCCAAGACACCAGGAAACCTATAAAGAACGGCAAAAGCAGAAGCTGTATCTTCAGATAAATTAATGGGCAAACTTACTGTTTTTAATTACAAAAGAAATGTAACAATTGAAGAAAAGAAAAATGAGTCATTTGTCTGCAGCTTCTCTGATGCAAGTGACTTCTGTAAACAAGAGGCAGAGCACAGTTGAGTGCTGTCTGGCTCTTCTGACATTTGGTCTATCTTATAGCTAAAATAATTGTTCATACGCACGAAGGGACAAATTCCTCTCAAAATACGCAATGGTACAATGGAAACACATATCTTCTGCATGCAGAGCCCTTGAAAAGCATATTTAAGTGAAACAGATGAGTGTAAGACATGTATAAAATTTATAGGGCAACCACTAATGGGGTGTCTAAAATATACATGTACTATGGACAGCAGAGTAACATAGTTTCTGTATTGATTTCATATGTCCCTCTTTGATCACTTCATTTTAAACAAATACCATGCTGACTATGGCTAAAAATCACAGACTGGGAAATTAATGAGAAGTACTTACAGTGATTTCTTTTTTTTTTTTTTTAAATTAATCTAATTCCAGATACAGAATAACGTATTACATTAACGTTCCTCTAGTCTACTACTTCCCTGCCTGACCTCCTCTAGTGACTAGGCAAGATCAGGAAATCTTCAAGGGTTCTGTTCTCTGAAGACCTTGCAAATTTCCATACCTGCCTGCTTACAAGAAGTGCCAAAGAGATAGTACACAGAAATGGTGCATATATTTATGTACACCTACAACTACTGTAATAAGACACTGCAGGTGTGTAGACTATCTTGAAAGCTGTGTTTTGGATAGCGCAGTTGATGCTGATACAGAAGACACTTATTAAATGCAAGGGTAACAGTTGTAAAGTGTGCTTTTTGCATGGTGGTCATATTCTCAGTTTACCAGCTTTTGGTCTTGTCTAAATAATAAAAAAAACATTGTAAGACTGCATCAGCATAAGGCATCAGGACAAGTTTCTTCCTAGAAATATAGTTCCCTATGCCACTTTGAAATTTTATCATACAGTTTCCTCAAGATATTTACAAGAAGACAGGATTTCTTCATAGTTGAAGAAGCAAGTTGAGGTTAGCATGCATTCAGTGCGTGACAAATCAGGATTCTTAGCAAGGAACACTGGTAACAAAAAAACTAAAAAACCCACTACGAAGTCACTCCTGTATCCACATGCAGTATGTCCCACCAAACAGTCCATTTATCAGAGTATTTCCCTCCCTAAAAGTTTGAAAACATTAAAGATAGAAGCTCCTGTTTGGAGAGTTGCCTAAATAACATGCTGCTTAGAATGAAACAGGAAAGTTATTGGAATAATTAGTTCTATCTTTGCTAGTCATAAAAGATGAGTCATCAACAATATGACTCAAACTATTAATAGGCTCAGCCATTTGCACGTCTGTGCTACACACCAATAGGTATGTTTTCTTGTTTCAGTTCCAAGTTTCTAGGACAGCGACTGTCAGTGAGAACAGCTATGCACATGCTTGTTAATGCTGGTAAAGCTAAAAATGAAGTTAGGTTAGGCTACTGGTCTGGCTGTGCATTTAGGACAAGACTATATCACCCTCGAGACCAAAGTGAACTGGGAAATTTTTGAACTTAGCTAGACCACAACTTGCACAAAACTGAAGCAGTACGGGAAGAAAGGTGGAACTGCTTTAAACAACTTGACATTTTATTACATTTCTTACTATTGATGAAAATTTTCTATATTAGTTGTTATTTTCACTCGGGCTTTGTGTGGTTCTCAGGTCTTCAGCTCTACTAGATGCTCAGAGGACAGCAAAGGTTTTCCATGCCATTATAAACCATTCCGTTCTCTGAGTGAACAGAATACTCTGCCTCATTCACTGTTTGTCAGAGTCAGGACAATGACCAGGTCATTTGGGACATTCAGACCTGATACCTCATCTCATCTCCAGGAATGAAACCACCACTACATGAAAAACGGACTTGTGCCGACCACGGCAGCCTGCCTGCATAATAACATGTGTTGCCCTATTCTGAAGAATACAGAAATCACTAAAAGGTTACTAAATTTCTCTCTGGTAACAGACCTAGGAACCTGTGCAATCTCTATTTTCCACGTGGCCTTGGTTCTGCTGCCTATATATCCATTGAAATTGTCACTCATTAAAAGAAATGCATAATAACAAAGGACAGCAATGTGAAAATGTTCACTCCCCAGGGGAGATGAGAAAGACTTGCTTTCAGACCAACTTCAGAACAAATGAAAAGTCACCAGAAGAAAATGTTTTGTTTCCTTTAAGGAACTTCCTTTCAAAAACAAACATGTACTTACTTATGCAAACAAAGAAACAAACATACAACACAGGCACTCTTAATAAGCCAATGGGTCAATTTCGCCACTAAGTAGGAAAAGACGGAAAAAAAAAAAAAAGATCTCTATCACTTTTACTTTGAAAAAGAATACGTCCAGTTTTTCCCTTCCTAAGAATCAAAGTATTTAACTGGAAAAACGCAGGCTGCAAAGCTGCAGTGCATTATTCCCTGTACGCCATCACAAGTGTCATTTATTTTCTACAGTAAACACAAAGTTATTATAAATTTTACATTGCTGGATTTAGTCCATAGCTGGACCTCAATCATAGCTGGAGTCAGTGAATGATTCCTGCATGCGCTACTGCCTGCCTGGCCTTTTCTTCCACTTGGCTATCTTTAAACATTGTCCCTCTTCCCTACTGTTTTACTTTCAATAGCAGTACTATTGCAATACTTTTAATATATTGCCAAAAACTCTTATTTACTGGCTCATGATGCCCGATTCCTTCAAATTTTAAATTTCCCTGTTTCCTAATGCAGCAGAAACCAAATTAGATTATGTGCTGTTTCTCTGTATGTCTCAGTCATAAGCCTCATTTGTTTCACTGGACATAATAATAACAACACTTCCAGAGAACTCGAGAGTTTGCGTGGTAACTAATTACTTCTGTTGCTAACAAGACCTATTCTGCAAGATGTAACTATCGTTGGATAAGAGATACTAGGGTTCCCTTAGGCAATGCAATATGCTGTCTAAGCAGCTTTTAGAATCTATGCTATAGGGAAATGCAAGTTTCAACATCGTATTTTACTATCTAGCATACATTATAGCCAGGATAGATAGACAGATGAAAGCTAGCAGAATTCCTGCATCTGGTTTTGCTCACTCAGCTTGTGACAGCCACTGTGGATACTTAAAACGCTGAGTATCAAAAGCTTACCTTGAGTTTTCACTGGATCAGATATTTGGCTTGGGTCACTTAGTCCATATGCATTAGCTGCCCTCACAAGGAATAGATAAATTGCACTAGGTTTTAGCCCTTTAACTGCAAAACTCTCTGTTTTCACATTTTCAGCTACAGTTTGCCAACTGCTACCAGATGCATGGCTAAGGACAAAACACACAACAGCAGGTTAGCATGTGCTTTTTTTAACAACATATTGTATATAAACAAGTACAGCAAGATCACATGAGACTCATATACCTGAAGGCCTCAATTATGTAAGAGGTTGGTGTAGCACCTGAATTCAAATTAGGTTGCCATGCCAATGTTACTGTGTTTCTGCTGACATCTGTAACCTCAGGTTTTGATGGAGCACTAGGAATCAAGTTTGGATCAGTGGGTCTCGGTGGCTGCACTGGGACTCCAAACTCTAACAAGGGAGAAAGAAATGCTGAGTACAGACAGGAAGCAGCTGTAAAAGCTAAATTCTGTTCACATCCGCACTGGCAATTTATGACACAGTCAGGTAACTTCTGCATTTCAATTTCTGATTTTCCTTTATGCATTTTCTCCACACAGAGAAACCCTAATTGATTTACCTTGGACCTCTATGTATGCACTCCATGTAGCTTCGCCACTTGGGGTTGAAGCAATGCAGGTGTACCGACCAGTGTCGCCCAGCTGAGTGGGAAAAGAGAAAAATAAATATTTGAAACAATCAGGAACTCAGTGGGCTAGAAAAATAATTACAGCTCTCTATGTTCCCCCATGAATATGGATAAACGTATTAGGCTGCAAAAACTTTGAAACAGAACTTTCATTAAAAGGTATGATTTCGTGTGCTGCAAAATGAAAATGGTTAACTTCTGAGCATTCGTTAAAGAACTGGAAAAGCTGCAGATTCTAATTTAACGTCACCTATTCTGTAATGAACAAATTGAAGGCCGATTCTTGCAGCATTTATTCCTTACTCTGCAGAGGTCCTAACAAACAAATTGAGAAGGAACTCAGATGACAAGACCTCATGCAACTGTCAACCTTCTGCCTAAATAATGCCTGGGGATTTGTCTGGATTGCAGCACTGGAGAGCATGTCATCCTTAAAACAAAGCTTAAATACTGCACAGAGCCTTTGTGCATATGGAGTTCCCTGTGTTAGTATAAATTTCACTCTACAGCAGACCTAAAAAAGAATCTCCATATGCTATTCTCATTAAGTTATGAATGTTGGATTCTTTGTCCATGTGTGACTTAATCACATTTCAAGAGAGTTTCTTTTTTTCCCCAAAAATAAATGCTATCCTCCTAAGGTTCCAGCCTCAGCAGATGAGCTGAACGGAAGCTCAAAAATTAGAGGTTCAAACTCTCAGCCAGTGTAACTTGTAAGTGGTAACAGGGCAACTCTAGGGAACATTGTAAAGTGATGTATTCAGCCTAATTTTAAAAAATTATGACATTTCAAACCACAGAAAAGATAACAGAGAATAGCCAGCAAACTAAAATTTAAACCTTAAAATGTTAAAACCTTTTGCAGCGTGTGAAGCATGACCAGCAATACTGACCAGGTACTTGCTATAATTCCCCAAGGAAGCCAGGAATTTGACAGGTGGTTAACCATTTTAAGGTATGTTTACACTGTCAAGTGAATATGTTTAAAAAGTGTTTTGAGGGAGCTGTGCATATGGCTCTATTACTGCAGTATGCTAAACAAAGGTGTGCTTTATATACATGTGAAATAATTTGATCATTTTAATCTACTACTGTTAAAGCCCAAATAATTTAAGGATTTGTCTTAATGAAAAACAAGTTTTGCTTTCCCCTTCATGTTTTAAGTACTAAATAATTTCCTTAATTAATAACTCTTAAAAGCATTTTTCCTTATGAAATCTGAAATAATGTGCCCTAGGCAGAATAAGCCAAGGTTTTAAGCATAAAGAATGAACTATCGGAAAGCATGAAGTATGAAATATTTTAATACAAGTATTTAATTTTCATTAATTCTAAATGTAAGATTTACTACATCAAAAGTGCCTGGAGGTACCAAAAAAAAAAAAAAAGAAAAAAAAAGTGAGATAGCCAACAAGAAAACCCACTTGCCAGTTCAAACTACCTTGGCATATCGGATCTGTAATGCTCCTGTCTCCAACTGCTTGATGCGAGAGTCTTGGGTAGAAATGAGGATCCCATCCTTTTTCCAGAGCATAGTGGGCATTACAGTGCCTGTGGCCACACAGTTCAGTACTAAAGTACCATCTACAGCTACAGTCTGATTCAGGGGACCCTGTCGAATGACAGGGGGAGGCCGGTCTGCAATCACTGCCAGAAGAAACAAGAGGAAAGAGATTTCTGCAACTGGAAGCAATTTTCTAATCATCTAAGTAACAGCAGTTGCTTGAGGCTTTGAAACAAACTAAAGATAATTAAACAAGTAATTAAAGTTGGAGACGTGTTATTCAGGGCAGGGTGCATTATAATAATGCACAACTACAGAATTTAAAATGATACACAACATAGTATTTTCAGAAAGTAAAGAAGCAATACGTATTACACAGTGGTATCTGCTAGGCATTCATTAATTCCAGTGTCTTCATTATGTGATAATGGAATGAGAAAGGACTTCCCAAATTCTCTGTCAAGGCACATGTTTCACCTTGTTCATCTTCTACCATGCAGAAGGCCTGTATAACAGATTTTACGCTGCCAGCATTCAAAGACACAGAAAAATAAGGTAGGCAGGCAAAGGATAAGCTGGCAAATATGAACTTCTTAAAAATTTTTGTTATATACCATCAACTCATCTTTATGCTGTTTCATAATTGGGAGATGCTTAGCAGTAGGGTAGAGTAAACACAAAGCTAATTAATACGACCATATTAGAAATTTTCAACTAAGACATATTTTCCAGTAGTTGCTGACTTCTCGTTCTATGCTGATTTAATCTGTCAATACAACTTCAACATCACATATTTCTAAATTACTTTTCGTAACAACAGACAGGGTGTTACTACTGCTTTTTTTTGGATTTTTTTGGCTAAATTCCAACCCCCATGATTTCAGTTGCATGTTCAAATGACACCGTGTTTTCAACTGCATAGTTTATCCTTTACTTCTCATCCCAACCCAACCTGTTGTAATTCACTGCATTGCACCGTGAGACCATTACTACCTTCTCTTCAGAGACAATCAAAATAAGTTCACTTATAGTTTGTTTTTAACTTTGACAAGTTTGTAAAGAGCTTTGCAGTTGTCAATGGTAAGAGGCTGACCAATACGTGCTCTACAGGAGAAATCTAATGCCACTGAAATCCATGGCAAATTTAAGTGCCACAGAAGTTGATGGCAACTTCCATTACTTTTAGGAATACAAGGGTATTGTCTGCATATCCTGCCTTCACTTCAAATGGATAAAAGTGGATTAAGAAATGTGGTTTACCAATTGTGAGAAACCAGAAAGGATGCAGTCCTATTCCTCCAAACAATTGCAATCTGGCTGGAGGTGGGTATAAATAAACAATTTTATTCTCCAGGTTCAGTGCATGTTTCTAGCACTGCATTATTTCTATGTTTTCTATAGGGCAAAGGCCTAGTTTATGGAAACTGTTCTCAGACAACAGCTTCCCTCCCTTCAAAGTCTCTCCACAGACTGCACTTATCCATAAACTTATTTTTTCCATTATTGCTAAGATTATTACTTTTCCTGTGTATCTTTGCTAATAAAAATATCAAGTTTTTCTGATAATCGGCAAATTGGCCTCACATCAGCATATATTACTGCTTGCAGCCATGCTCCCTGTAGCTTTTCAATCTTAAATTTTACTGCTCCTCAAAAGGAATGTATAGTAATATTCATTTGTATGTTATTCCACAGACTGCCATACATGTTGAGGTTTTTTCCTTGCTATACTGCAGTATTAAAAAACAGGCCAAAAACAAGGAAATGGAGATGCCAAGCAAATAGATATACAATAATAGGGATTATGAGGTAGGCAGCAAGCAATCTGAAAGTAAACTAAATCTAGTGGAGGAAGCTGAAAAAGAGCCAGATATATTAACAAATTTGACAAAAATCCAAAAACCGAGGTATACTTAACTAAATACAAAATGGAAATACAGTGTTACACAATATCCAAATTTTTAAATCACTGACAGAGATGGCCAAAACAGGATTTTTATGTTCAAAGACACATGCAATATGGATTTTATGCAAAGCAGATATCAAAGTAGTGTCATATCATCCCACTGCTGTCTTCAAATAGAAATAAAAACTTGGGCATGATAAAATAAAGGTATCATTACCATCAGTAACTTCCAAGTAGGCTTTTGTTATGATACTTCCTGCGACATTTAAAGTCTGGCAGATGTAGTACCCAACGTCAGATCTCTGGACATTGGTGATAGTGAGGTCTCCTGTCTGGGAAACTGAAAATCGGCTGGATGACTGAGGGGGCTGGTACGAGAAAAGCAGATTCTACAAGATGTATAGGAAAGAAAGTGGAGGAAAAAAGGTTAAATAAATTCAAACAACAATAATCTTAACTTCACTATATCTAAACAAATTCATATTTTCTCATTATATATAAAATATTCTGCTCTTCATATCTTAAGCATGTCTATATCACAATGTGAATAGCTTTTACAAGATTTTTTGTGATAAAATAGGTGCAGATTTGCACATATAATTTTTAAGTCTCTTGGGATTGCTCTAACAATGCTGCTCCTCTATGGTCAATGTTGGGCTTTACACAAAGTTTAACATGCACTGGGAGAAGATGTGATAGGTACAGATACCGTAACAGTGCAAGAAACTGTGGTGAACCTAAGTAATTTGCTTTAACATCCTTTTTTACAACTTACTCTAGGGCATTCTTTTTATTTAATTTAAATGCAGATGTTGGTTTACTTACTTGTATTTTAACTTCTGCCTTCTTAAGAATAGACCAGTTTTTTTAAAAAGAGATGCTGTTTAGGTCTCTCTAATCACAGTGTTTGTGTTCTATAAAGAGCCTTATAACATAGAATTAACTCCTATGCCAGTTTCCAGTTAAAACAGTTCTGGTATGAAGTACCTAGTATTTACCAACAGTGATCAAAAATCAGAACTGCAATCAAAATAATACAAGTCCTTTACACTAAATACCGATTCCGAATTTCTACCTCTGGCTGAACAATCTGTGAAGAGGCTATTTTTTTTATCTCTTTCTTGCCCAACTGCATTTGCATCTCCAAAAACCATCCAAAGGAATGGGATACAACATCCTCTACTTCAGTATTAGCAAACCCTATTCATTGTCCTCCTCCGTCAGTTCCCTCAATCATCAGAAGCAGTTACCATGCAGGAGAGTGAAAAATGAGCCAGGAAAATTATGTATGAGCCAACACTTGGCAAAAAAAAAAAAAAAAAAAAAAAAAAAAATCCAGGTCATACAAAAATATACACATAATATACTGGTATACTTATACCACTGAAGATTATAATCTAAATTTGGTTAGGAGTCTAGTTGTATTTAGGTAAGAAATGCTGTAAATGGAGTGAAGAAGGCAATCTCAAAGCATTCTCAATTTCTCTGGTCTGTTGTTTTGTAACACAAAGAACCCTGTCATATGCTATTGCATCATTCATTCCTTCATTGACAGGAAAACCAGAATCCCATATTCCTTCTTGCTATCCAATAAAGAATACTTTGTGTCACATCCCTCCTTCAAAAGATGACTCTGAAAGAAAACTGTGATTCTCTTACTGCGCTATATTGTGTTTCATCCACTGGCTTTCAAGATCCTTTACAAAGAAGCCAAAAATATTTTTCCCTCTCATTCAAATAAAGCAGCTGGGAGAAAAAGTGACCTATTCAGGTATGACCTGTCAGCCAGCTGACTGAGTGGGAAAGTACATCTCCTTAATCCCAAACTAGTGTGCTACCCATGCAGTGAAGCAGATCAACACAGCAAATGGTTTAATTTGACAAACACACACAAATGTGGCAAATTAATAGCTGCACCAGAAACCCAGAGACAAACTTTCTGAATATTTGGGGGTGTTTATGAGTTTAAACAAACTTCACCATTAGTCATCTCTTCATTCTCCCTGTTAGGTGAAAAAGATTTTTATAGTAGTGAAATATGGAATGTTTCTACTTGTTTTGTAGATTTATTTTTACATTCATGGAGAAAATGGAAGACTGAGCAAAACATAGATATCCTTTTTAGTAAGGCTGACATCATCTAGCATGCAGGTGACTTTGAAGTAGAGAAGAAATATCCAGGATCTCCAGGTCCTAGACCCATTTTCCACATCTTTAAAACAATAATTAAAATATTTTTCTCTCATGTAACATCATCCCTTCAAGAAACTGCCAAGAAGGAAGGACAGAAAGACTGTTTTACCTGGCTTCCCTCTCTTCGCCAAAAGATGGCTGGCTGAGGGTTTCCAGTTGCTTCACACTGGAAAGTCACCGTTCTCCCCAGTGCAGCTACCTGATCACGAGGCTTTACAACAAACTGTGGAGGCTCTGAAAGGAAAATACCGGAAAAAATAAAAAAAAATGACACTACTATCAGGAGATCAAAGTTAGCCTATTTGAAAGCACAATTTGCCTACTGACTTTAAATGGTGTAAAACAGAATAGCTAGGCTTCTTTAATAAGGAGAGGCAGCACAAAGACACATTAGTTGCTAACAGCTACAGCTTCAGCATCACTCAGATGACCTTTTCTGTTACTGGACCTCCCAACTAAAACTCTGGCTGTGCATTACGTGCTTTTGTTACTGACCACTTATACAATGAAGTAAGTCCCACGGACTTAATAAGACAACTTGCAGAGCAACAGTCACTAATATGAACACATTTGTTACAATGTGGTTTTTAAAGAAGGAAGAGGGCTGCAAGTCAGAATGGAGAAATCCTTGATGGACAACTGGCCCACAGGCCACACTTTGTCAAGAGCTGCAGTAAACACTGTTGAATAACTTGGAACTCAGGCTTATATGCATTAAAGTCATCATCTTTGATTTAGGAAAGCTGAGGACAGAACAAGCCCTTAATTGCTTAAATGAGAGACTTTTGATGTATTTGGGGGTCTCAGAGAAACTTAAAGTCAAAAGCCCCAGAAATACTATTGAACAAATCATAATCATTTAAAATCTTCAGTTCAATTACTGAAGTGGAATGAATTTAAAGGAACAGCAGGGCTAAATGTCTTCCTCGTTTACACAGACAAGGGCAAGTTCAAACAAAATATATATGCAAATGATGGCAAATTTGAAACATCTGCTCAGCCTAACATTATAAATACTGCCAGCATTGTCCAAACTGTTTGATTTATACAGACTTCAACAACCCCTTCATCCAGTTGTAAATAGAATGTCAAGAAATCATGTCAGTCACATTAAAAAAATCAGCATAGACAACAGCATTAGATATCTTGATGGGGCTAGCACAGAAAAAAAATCTAGCTTGTTTTATAGGCTGTTAATTCTCACTTCTTGAAAAATGTGCATTAAACTAAAGTCCATTACTTATTAATTTCCGATTCCGTCTGATCATTTGTCCAAAACTAATTATACTCTCCCTCTTCTTTGGATTAAGCATAAAGGGGATGTTTGAATACGACATTAATAACTCAAATGTTTTCATTTTTTTTCCTTTCAAACATTTCTGTACTCACATTATTTTCCTTTAAAAAGAGTGTGAATCATATAAAGATATCATTCAATGCATTTTATAAACATTGAGTAATTGTGGTTTTATCTAGAATGAATTCAATAACACTCTAAGTCCTTTCTAAAAAAAAACTTGATTTCAGTATTCCTGCAGGTCAATACTTTCAGTTATCTGTTCCTCATGCCTTGTGTCTCTGCTCCTTATTGAGCTGATATCAGAATATACTTTTCCAATGACCCTCCTGTTTTGCTAGGAATTTTTAAAGCACAACACATTATTCTTTACATTTGGATGCAAATGTTACCTTTCCTAGAATTTCCTTAGATAAGAAACTACCCAAAGTGAAGCTGAGATTGACCTGCAATAATTAGCAGATTTCAAAACATTTAGCTCTGAAATGTTCAATCAATACCTTGGAAAGAAGATGTGGGAAGACTTTGACATGACAGCATGTTTAGTTTAGAACAGAAGGTTAAACTGTTGGGGATTTGCCACAGGGTTGTAGGGTATGATTGGGAAAATGGAGACCTTTATTATGCTGCTGGATTCTAATAACAAGAATAAATTTAGCATATAGGTAAATTTAGTGCTTGGCTGGTTCTGTACTAGTCTTAGTACACAATGCCACAGAAAATAGAAGTGAGGGTTTCCAAATCCTGTGCTAGTGCAGAGGATTTCTAAGGTTTCAGATTTCGTTGAACTTGAGAATGGGTAAAGTTACAAAGAGATTAAAACGGTTCTGACCATCACAGAAACAGCTGAATGCTAGTGATCCTAGTACCCGAAGATGACTACCGAACATAAAAAATGAAGGGAAATTGAGTCTTTCAGGCAATCACAGTAGAATTTATAAAATCTAAATAGGTATATGTTTCTCTATATATTATTCTGAATATGTATTTTTATGTATATTGCTCTAAACATATATGCAAATGATGCATAGGTGTATTATTCTAAATCTAATGCCATTAATGTAAATAAGAAAAATCCTATTAGCTTCAGTGTCAGAAGAATTAAAACAGGGTGAAGTGAAATGTTGTTATTAATCTCCATTCAGTGTTTACTGTACTGGAAGCATTTTCACCATCTTTTTTTAATTTCAATTTTCTTTCACACCTTGGGTCACATATGTATGGTATGTGACGAATACACTATAAAAGATGCTGAAATAAAAATCCACTTAAGGAAAGAACAACTTCTATCCTTGAGACGTTTAAAACAAATAACTTTTTATAGAACACTCTGAAGTTCAACTAATGCAGTAATTGAAGAAAGAAGACATTACAATTTGACTTGTTACATCATGCAAAAACAGACAGAAAGTTAGCAACCCATTACCTTTCTCTTTGTCATTAAGTTACCCATACTTCAAGCAGAATTTATTCTGTGCGATGTGTCTTGTCAATAACAAGTAAAAGATGGGAGCTGACTGGTTGAAGGACATGGAAGGGGATGGATGATGGGAAGGGGAGGAGAAGTTCCCGTCACAGTGATACGATGATTAGAAGATGGCCAATAAAATTTCAACTTACCAGACACAACTAAAAACAAAAACAAAACAAAAAGAAAACATGGAATAAATAAAATTGAATAGACATGAAACAAAGCAAGGAATAAAGCAAAGCTTAAAAAAAATAAATAGAAAGAACCCTTGGTAAGGACCTTAGAATGCATACATATATTCTGATATATGAAAAATAGGTTTAAAATGTTGAATCACATATTTTTTTATTTGATTTTTTAAGCAGAAGTCTCTTATCAAATGCTGAAAGCAGGCTGTAGAGGAAAATGGGTAACAGACTGAAAGAACGGTCAGGCAACCTCAGCTCTACTCCAAGCCTTTACAATGAACTGTTGTGTAACCTTGAGTAATTTTTTTTTTTTTTTCTTTCCCATGTAATAGTTATTTCTCTGCATCAAGTGCTTTCCACGCCAAAATTAACTGGAAATCTCCAGTAAATATCAATCTGTGACATTGCTGAAATGGAACAGTGACATTTCCCCTCTTTCTAAAGCATCCAAACATCTGCCAATGGAATATACTTTTCAGAGGCTAATAGCTATTACAAAGGACGTTTATTAAAATAATTAATAATATGTTGAGGCATTTAGCCCACACACCAATCTCTTCAGTATAAGATCGCTGTATCAAGGTCACAATGCTCACTATTAGAGTGCAAATGCAAACTAAACCACAATTAAAATTAATTTGGAAATATTCTTAACTCTTTTCTCCCACAACCTCCAACTCAATTTCAACAAAATATTCAAAATCAGAGATTTATTGCAAACTATTAGCTTTATCAACAGAAATTGTCAGTGGCAAATTATCTAATACTAAATTCTTTCAACCATAGCTGAAAATTTTTGTAAACATTGAAATGGCACAGATCCTGGCAGGCTAAATTTGCTTATAAAAGAAAGGCATGTTAGAAAGCATTCCAACCCGTATCACTAATTGAAAGAACAGATTGAAAGTAAGAATTTTAAAATCATGCATTTCAAAACCACAAACAAATACTGACAAAAAGGTCAATCAAAAAAGGGTAGTTGGTACAATTACAGTAAAAGTCCAAAAACATATGTAATTTTTAAAATGTATGTTACAAATACCACCCCTTCAACACCTTGGTCGTATTACTCTGTGTTGAGAGTAAAACAACTATTGTGCAGCAGGGTACACTTTCGTATCAAGTAGGTAAGTCCCTCCAATACACTATCCTCTGATAAAACACATGGACGAAACCAATAATATCCAGTCTGCCAACATTCATTAGGCATGAGGAATACTGGCTTACTGTTCAAATAAATACAGAGGACTCCAGGTGTATTATGAAAATGAAGCAGAAAGATAATCAGATATAATACTGGAATTTGGATCATGTTGAAGCCAAGAAGCTGCAACTGAATGCACCAAACCCAGATCATGTAGAGAATTTGGTTTTCATGTTATTAGAGACTTTTTTTTTTCATAATCCCAAACAGAAGAAATTGTGATTACCAGTTTTCAAAGCTTTGATTTTCAAGTTTAAGGAAGTATTCTGGATGTACATTGGGCTTTTTTAGGTGTGTGGGTTCTTTATTTCTCAAAGAGAAAATCAGCACACATTTTTCTGTTCAGATTATCCTGGTATACACAAGAATTCCTGAGAGAAAATTCTCTCATCCCCAAGACTGAGCTCCTAGTTACTCTTGATCATGCATAAGTACATTACCCTGTAAACAGTCCTTTTTAACCGAAAAGCTCTCTACTAAACTTGTAGATACAGTCTGACCTGCTCTGGAATTCAAAATGCCTCTCCATAAAACACAACTCATATTCTACACGAAATAGCCTGATAAGAGACTTAATAGGATGCAATTCTTTCACACAGGAAGTCACTATAAATTACCAATTTTCTATTACTCAAGTCATGCCAAAAAGAGAAAAGTTAAGCCCTGGTAGCAATGCCAAGCTTCATAAACCCTCTACTGAAAGCTCACTTGAAAATTTCTAACAGATAGGAATCTGTCTTGGTTGTTCAACTACATTTCTACAAATTAAATTAACTTTTAAGTGCTGAATTTCCACTTTTCTTTTTACCAGACAGCTTTGTTATTGTAGGTCAAAAATAACCCTGTCAGGCAAATGTTTTTTTTTTTGTCCACCTGTAAAAACAGAGGGGATACTGATATATGAATATAAATCCCTGTAGAAACAGGGCATCACATTGGTTGCAGATCTGTTGCAGGGGCAAAGGGTTAAATTTCATAGGAAAATTTAAACAGTGCTGTCAGAGGCACATCATGTGGTTTAGAAGAACAAGCATAGCAACAACAACAATAAAGACCACTTTCTTAGTTTGATTTACATCCTATTAATATCTAAGGTTACTAAAACTGAGAAGTAAATAGTTTTTCCTCCGTTATGGCACATTTTATTTGACAACACTTTCAATTATAAAGTAAATTAATTTTCCCTGTGTTAATCATGGCTTTTCACATGGCAATTAGGGGAAACAATCTGTTTGTAAAGACAGGAATGTAGCATGAAAAACCACAAATACCGAAGGAATAATATTTTAGTCTTTCAAATAATTTCCTTGACGTGTGAGGTTTTTCAGGGGAGACTTATCCAGTCACTGAACAAAAAACAAAAGAAAAGTGGTTTCCAGACTAGTGACGTGATATTTTAATACCTTATTCTTGACAGCAATCCTATCAACCTCACTGGGACTAGTGGTATCATTAAATCCACTCACATGAGTAGGAATTTGCAGTTTTAGGACTTAAACTACAGACCAGTATAGTTGCCAGATGTTAATGGAGCAACTATTGTATTTGACAGAAGTAGTATTGTAGGGCCGTAGGATAATTAGGTTGGAAGCAACCTTGGGAGGTCTTTACTCCAATCTCATGCTCAAGGAGTCTTGGCTATGGCGTGAGACCAGGTTGCACAGGGCTTGTTCCAGTCTGGTGTTGGAAACTTCCAAGGACTGAGAACGTACAGCCTCCTTGGGCAACCTACTCCACTGCTTGACTGTCCACCCTGTAAAGAAATTTCTCCCTATATCCAGCCTTGATCTCCCTTGTTTCAACTTATATCCATTGTCTCTAGTCCTCCCACCACGCATTACTGTGAAGAGACTGGCTCCATCTTCCTGACAACCACCCTGTAGGTACTGGGGGCTGCTGTTATGTCCTCCCTGTGAAGCAATTTCTTCTCCAAACTTAGCAAGCACCATTCTCTCAGCCCTTCCTCACAGGACATGCATAATGTATAGGTATTATATACCGTACGTTGAGGTCACATATCTCTAAATAACACATTCTGTAATTCTTCTCACAAAGATGCATATAAATGTTGATCTTGTGTTTCTCTACAACTCATTGGTTTCCTCATATTTAGAATTAAATATTACAGAGTTGTGTCTATTTCTTAGTCTGATATTGAATAAGCTATAAACTTCAAGTACCCCATTCTTGAAAGCTGCAGTAGTAACTATCTATCTCAAAAAGAGCAAAATTATAGAAATTTTCATTCATTTATACTAATAAGGTGTTTTTGAGATCCTGAGATTCAAAGTAGTACTTAATTACTAAACAGAATTTTGTTCGGCATATTAAATACTAATTAATTATTGTTCTGTTACCTCCCAGGTGCTCAGAAGATATCTTGTTTTTCAGCTGACACAAGCTGAATACTTTTGATTTAAGCTCAATGTGTTTCATTTTTGATTATTTAAATAAAAATCTTTATGTCTTCAAGGACTGCTTGACACTCTTACAGCATATAGATGCTATTATAAAGGAAGCAAGAAAGTATACTTCTACACCAGAGAAATGAAACAATCCCAATCTTCAGGCCAATAATTACATAGCACAAACAAGCTCACACACAACCTTTAGCTTCCCTACAAATCCTTGGCCGTATGAGTCATCTAGGAAACGGCAGTCACAATGAAATTTAGACTGCTTTCAATTAATTCTGTGATACAATAATCCCAGTTCAAGTGAAAAATATCAGAGGTTGAATGTGCCTATAGAAACAAACTGGTAGGAGATAGGGTGTGAGTACGAGCCTATGTGCTGGAAGAGACAGCGGAGCTCGGGAGCACAGGCATTTCTAATGTGCTTGGCCAAGCAGACTAGACGGTGTTAGAGGAGAAACTCCAGAGCTAGCAACAGAGAGACTACAGTACAGAGATAGCTACATTATCTGTCATGAAGCATTGAAGTTCTACAGAAAGGCTGAAACTCAGCTGTTTATAATCTTTGGATGAAATGAGTGGGCGAGAAACCCACTGTTTATAACCTCTGTCTGAGATGAAGGGGTAGAGAAAATCTGGGTAACTAGAGTTACATGCAGAGGAAATTCTGAGAGTCTGAGTACATTCAGCAAACTGGTCAAACTCTGACTGCTCACTCCTTAGAAAAAAATAAAGAAATTCCGAACAACTTTATTTTCCAGTTCTCTCCCTAACACCAAACAAAAACTCAGCTAAAAAGCTGCCAACCTCTTCTGGTCATAATTAAGTTTCACTGCTAAGCCTACTAAACTCTGAAATGTAATTAACTACTTTTTACATTCAAGCATCTGAACAAGGACCATTGAATGCCTTTCTGCAACATGACTACCAGAAATGTATGTTCGTGTTTTGCAAAAACTATTATTAAGACAATGTGAAATGTTTCATTTCCTATCTAGTGATTTGTAGGCTATTTGTTCTTATCAAAGGAATCTGAAACACCCAATATCCTTTATATGCACATCTCTGCAGTAATTTGTGGAAACTATCACTTTCTACAGAGAAATAAACAAAGGACAAAATCTCTTGTTCTGAAAAAATATATAAATGCTGCCATTCAGCTGTCTCCTGGCTTCAACCTGTGAAAAATATGGGAAAATAACACCAGGTACATTACAAAAGAATGGGGCTATATCGCTTTTCATCTTCATTTGTCTCTCTACTTTCAGCTGTCACTTCTTGAGGTCTAGATACATATATAAATAATTCATATTTTCCCAGATTTTCTGCTAAAATTCACATTCATGTAAGAC